AAACTTTATTTAATATTGCACTCTGGGTTGTTTTAACCCAATTTTGGGTAAAATATGGACAAACCCAAATGTTGGGTTAAAAAATGTAAATAAAATATGTAACCCAATGGCTGGGTTTGTCCATATTTGACCCAAAATTGAGGTGAAATTAGAGTGTTTGTTAGAGTGTATCATGATGTAAAATTTTGCCATCTGCAGATTCAGAATAAAATATTCTGGATGGTACATTAGTTTGTGATTACTTGATTCTTGTTTTCAAAAGACAACACTCACTCTAAAAAAAAATGCTGGGTTGTTTTAACCCAATTTTGGGTAGAATATGGACAAACCCAAATGTTGGATTAAAAACGCAATTAAAAAATGTACAGTTGAAAGTGAAAGTTGAAGTTGGGTTCAAATTTGAAATTATATTTTTAACCCAACATTTGGGTTTGTCCATATTCTACCTAAATTTGGGTTAAAACAACCCAGCATTGTTTATAGTGTATAAATACATGCATAACAATAGCTATGGTCAATGATTTGACAGTAGGTTTTACATGATTCTCTTCTTTCAAACTCTTTCTACTGTGGCTTAAACAGCAATGCAAAAGCTATGGCAACGCTTTATTTTTATGGTCCACTTGAGACATTCTACTAACTAATAACTTTGCAACTACATGTCATTAGAGTATTAGTAGACTGTCTACTTTATTTCGATGCTCCCCAAACGACATTGTAAATAAAGTGTATCTGCACTGATCTCACACGGCCTCTCTGCAATCATATTGATGGAAATCCGACGCAGTGATGGAGAACTTTAATCCCTACAACTAATCTTTAATATTATATATTTATATTTAATGCACATCTGTTGAATCCTAAAAAGAAAAACTAGGAGAAATCCTACAGCATCTGTGGAAGACCCCTATGTTAAAGAGCAATGCTGTTCTGCTCTATTTGTATTGAAACCTCATTGCTTTGAGTCTCAGCCGAACTGAAGTAGAGGGATTATATCGCCCATGTGTTGATCTTTCTTCTCTTTGGCCTTGAAAACTCCTTGGCCACTCGAGCAGTTTGTCAGAGGTCACTGTCCAACTGCATGTTCAATTGCCAGTGAATGATCATTAAGGCGTTTGTTTGATTCTTCTGCATACAGTACTTCAAATTCATTCTGCCTTCAGCAACAATATCTGTAGCCCGTTCTTATGCCAGCTATGTTTCGATTCACAAGCAGATCCTCTGTACTTTCCACTTTTCATTTTTGCAAACTAGCCATTCTTGAATTTTCTGAGGGGGGAAACAGCCTCTTGGGAATAATGATGTTTTTAAAAAAAGAATAGCAAAACAGTTTTTTTGTTCTGCTGTCAGTGAAAGATATCTTCTCCACCTAATCGTTCACAGACATTTCACCATATGAGTGGCAGGGATATTTCTCATATCAGCGGCAGAATGGGAATAAAGTACAGTAAATCTCACGCTGCAATTGTGTCACTCATGATGGATTTATCAAATGCATAATGTGACTCCATGGGAACAGAACCTTCTCATCATCTTCCTGGAATGGAAAGGCCTGACAGCTACTGAAAAATAACAAGGAGAAACCATTCCATTATAAAGCAACAATAAGCCATGGGAAGCTGTGCGTTACACCGATTTTACCACTGTTCACGACTATATTGTGAATACGGAAATATTCTTTTTGCACTGTTTTTCACTTCCTATGGTAGGTTAGTGCAACTATTCAGTGTTTTTCCATTAATGGACTTCCAATGGTAGTCTTTATAAGCCAAGACACTGACTGATCAAATGAGCAATATAACTTAAAAATGACGTGTTACCTGTAGACTAATTATTGGAAAAAATACAACCACACACAAGATTAAAGTTGCAGCTCAAGGGACAAGATTACAAACTGTAAAAAAAGTTTTGTTAACGTCAGTTAATGTGAAAAAAAAAAATTAATTTTTAATTTTTAAAATTAATTTTAATACATTTTAACTCTAAAAAATTAGATTGCTCACAGTTAATATTACTATATTAACTAACAAATGACACCTTATTGTAATAACACAGTCTCATCCCAAAAAGTCATATAACTGACGTTTTGGGACGTATTTTGACCATACGTCAATATCAGCCTTTTTAGGGCCCCCTTAAACGTCGGTAGATGGCGATCCCGGGCCGTCATACAACTGACGCTTTACCTTTAACGTCAGTTAGGTGACGGGTTAGGTTTAGGGTTAGGTTTAGGTCTGGGGTAGAGTTAGGATCCCATAACCTCATCTACCGACGTTTAAGGGGGCCCTAAAAAGGCGAATATTGACGTATGGTCAAAAGACGTCCCAAAACGTCAGTTATATGACGTCTTGGGGTGAGACCGGGTTGATTGTAAAGCCTTACCAAATAAACTTTTGCCACACGCACAGTCTTTCACTTGCGGGAATACAGTCCAGAGATGATGCATCTTGGAGGTCATCTTGCACTGAGATGCGTAATCTTGTCCAATTAAATGTGCTCTAGAATGACTGTGTCCTCCTCAATGCCACCTGCTATGGACTATCAATAGCAAGAAGCAAAACACAGTTCATTTCTGTAACATATGTTCTGTTCGTGCCATGTCCTAATTACTGTATGAGATGACAGCTCAGAGATTCTGCTCTGATGTTGACTTCATATGTTGCTCTGTTGGTAATGAAAGGAAAGTATTTAATAACTACATTAATCCACCTCTGTATGTAAGAAAATATTGAACATATTTAATAGCAAAGCTCACCAAGTAACAGTCTAAAATAAAATTAAATATCAAACCACCGGTCTTCTTCCACTCTTCCACACCAGTCTGGAACGCTTCACAGTTATAACCCAACCGTTGGGTTACACATTTTGGGTTATTATGTTGGGTTGTTTTCCAAAAAAATGTTGGGTCATTTTTAAAATCATTGGGTCATTTATAGGCTAGTAATAATCCGATCAGTAAGCTGTATAACACTTGTGTATTTTGAATTGATGAACACAATTATGAATATTCAATTTTACACTCTAAAAAATTTGGGTCAAATATGGATAAACCCAAATGTTGGGTTAATTGTTGGGCAAGAGTGTATTCAATGTGTTGATTTAAAGAGTAACTAAACCAACTTTTTTTTTTAGTTAATCAGCTGTAAGAATAGATTTTTATTAATACCATTCATTGATTCGAGTAGCTTTTTTAACATTTGTGTATAAAGTAGGGGTGTAACAGTACACAAAAATCACGGTTCGGTACGTACCTTGGTTTTAAAGTCACGGTTCGGTACGTTTTCGATACAGCAAAAAGAAAGAAATGCCAGAGAAATTTCCTATTTGTTTAAAGAAAAAATATTTTTAAATAAGTGTGAGTTTTCCTAGATCTTGAAACTTTCCGGTTTATAAATACGGGTCATCTTTGAAGGATGAACAAATAATGTTTTGGTCATCACATTAAAAATAACATTTAAATATATATTTATTATTTGAATTTTGAAGTGCTGGAAAAAGATGTGTGAAGTACTTGAAAGCATTTCACCATTCCAGCCAAACTGGTTCCAGTTAGTGTTACTATATTAAATCCATGGTGAATGTTGCTGGTCTGTGCACGAAGGTATTACTAGTTCATTCACGGCACAATGTTTCTCCTGGTTTCCATGACAGCGCTGTTTGATCTAATAGAGATCTACGGTTATTAACGGAGAAATGTGAACGCATCTCACTAGATCTCGCAGCGACGTTATTACCTCAGTGGCGAATTCAAATGTTTTCTTTACCGGATCTCTTAGCGCGGTGTGGTAACAGTGTCGCTTGATCGAGATCGGCTCGCGCTGCACAGATGTTGCTGGTCCGAACTGATAAACGATCCGTGAAGCACATAACGAGGAGCGCAGTTTCGTTCTGCTTTCATTACCCTTGCCATTTAGATGTTGCGCAACGTTGTGTTGGCCGCGTCAGCACAAATTTTGCCGGCGGCAAGAAAAATGGTCCAAGCAATCGTTCGGTTTGTATGCGTACCGAACCGGAAGCCTCGAACCGAAACGGTTCAATACGAATACATGTACCGTTACACCCCTAGTATAAAGTGTTTTATTTCTACAATATATGGTGTAAAAAACGTCTTAGTGCTGCCCTCTTCAGGTTGAACGGTGGCTACTGCAGTTGAATTTTCCTATTGGATGTTCACTGTTCAGCACTTCGTGACGTACGCAGATTTCAGTTCACCACGCTCTTGGAGCTACGCCCAAAGAGCTTGTTTCGTCAAAACCAGGAGTTGGAATTGCGAGTATTGAAAACGATCAGGATAGAGTGTTTTAGCATCTATTTCATCCCCTCTATCTATCTCTGCTGGGGTCTGCCCAGTTTTTCAGCATTTTTCAAATATTGCCAGTGGGTGGAGTCAGGCTCTGACCAGCGGTTTAGTTACCCTTTAATGTCCGCTGAAACAGGAAGACAGGGCGGGACATTGCTCAGCTCCTCCCCTTTTTAAAATAGCCAATAGCATTTTACTCATACTTCCTGATAATCTCCTACATATTGCTTTAAATGTAGAATTGAAATGGGTTCGATATGTGCTCTGCCCCAACTCGCACATATATTCTGCTCTGTTCTATAGCAGCAACTGGAGCAGACTGTGTGTGAGCTGAGTGGTTCACGTGACAACAATACCAGACTTCATTCGGCCCAATGGAAAGCATATGTACACTGTCTGAATCATTCCATCCCTGTTATATAGTGTGCCCGTCACCATGTAAAATAGTAAACGTGTGAACAAGTGACCGATTTTGCTGCTTCACTCTCTATTTATAATGTTGGGGGCAGGATGCTTTAGATTCTAGAGAGCATTTGATTGGACAGAACATTTAAAGAGAAGCTGAAATGCAGAGGGTTATCATCAAAATCATTGATCCGTATTGGCTGGAGATGTTTTGAATGCTTAATTCTTCTAAATGCGGATTTTATCATTGTTTTGGAGCACATAGCTTAGCCAGACAAAAAAAAAAAAAAAAAAAAACACTTCAATTTTGATTTCATGTGGACTTTAACGTATATAGGCTACATTCTATGTATTGTCAGTGCGTTAATTGTAACAAATCTGTTCAAACTCTCAAAGACTAATCATCTAGGTTAAGTAGGGTACAGCTAATCCGTATTCTCCCAGTTCAAGTTGATCCGACACAATCGGACACCCTGCGTCTAAACGCAGTCAGTCAACCCAGATAGAGCATTCCCCGCAAAGACTAATTATGAAGCTCCAGTGAAGGTCCACATAATGCGTAAATCCGGACGCCTTGGTATGCGCCATACGTCCGTCTGTGCATTACTGTTATCCTGATAAGCTTCTCGGAGTTGTCCCTGCACCGCAGCATGTCCGTTCTGACTCGTTTGTGCCATCTACAGATTTCCACGGCTCTGGATGATCGCCGCACACACACTCGGTACATGTTCCAACTGACCTGCGCTTCCTCCGACTCGTTCTTTTTTCAAACCGGGCTCTTTTCTCGAGGTTTATCTGGATATCGCTTTAGTTTGCGAACGGGATTGCCGGAGCTTTACTGGATTCACTACAAAACAATGAAGAAACAGACAGCAACTGAAACACGGGAATAAACGGGTGGCGTTCGGAGAGGAATAACAATTTAACGAGAGATCTGGGGATAATGGTCTGATCTAGAAGTGCGTGTGGCCGTTTTCAGCTCAACTTGGTGGAAACTACACATGCATGGTGTGGTAGGACTCGGATATCAGCGCAGGTCGATGTGCACAAGAATGCACCTGCCTTCGTTTCTCTGCTTTTCTTTTCCATGAAACAGGAAGAGAAGATGTGTTGAAACAGCAGCACCCGTTTAGAATTTAGTGCAAATCAAACGAATGGATACGTTTCCAATGATTAAGGTAAGTGCTGGGCTTGTCACGCTGCTTATCGAGCACCTGTCATTTGTGAAAGGATTTTAAACACCACTAATAAGACATCGACACGGCTTTTAGTGTTTTATATCGCTTAACGCATTCAATTAGTTACACTTCGCCTTCGACGTGCCCGCTTTAACAATAAATCGCCAGAAGAAGGGATTCTTGCACTTTCAGAGATAAGTAGGTAATTGTGATAAGGAAAGTTGAAGCTTCTAATAATAGCCTATGCAATGTGTCCATTACTGGTCCCGTTTACGAATCAACCGACAATTCAGGGATCCCAAATTGCTTCAGCTGAAATGACTCACAATTTCATTACTTCTATTTCATGACGACCTAATGCATGTTCTCCTGTAATTCCGTTGGCATAACTTACATATTTGATCTGATTATTGTTCAAGTAAAATTTGATGGCTTATCAATCATTTCTGTTTTTCCTTGTGTCATTTCAGAGCAATATCTGGCTCATATCGTGTTGTGTTTGTCTCTGCGTATACATGATCGTTTATACCTGTGTTCATGGGAGTGGTGGATGAGTTTCCAATGGATACATACTTCTATTGAACAATGCTAATATAACCTTACAAAACATATAATTCACATGCACTGGGTGGCCATCAAGTGGCATAATACCACCCGAGTTCACACTGGCACATATAATTATAGTCTTTGTGAAACGCCACACAAGTGCACACGGGAACAGAGAGACTGGACAGGAGCTGTGAATTTCAGCACCACGGACAGCACCAGAGTCTAGTTTTAATTCCATTTGCATTGGCAGATAGCTACCAAAAGATTGAAAGGATGCCTCTTGAATGAGCATTTTTTATCGGACCTTAATGAGACTCTGGCAAATGTCAATGATGATTGAAAGGGCACAAAGAGCATTCACCTTGAGGGCCAGCTCATGCAGCGTGTCAATGTCTGAGGAACACATTCATTAGACGAACAAGCTTCAAGCACAAAGGCAATTTGATTAGGGCTCACGTGCACTGCAGCTCTAATAAGTCCCCTCCCTTTTGTGTACCTTTTCACAGCATTTCCACATATAACTGATGACCAAGTCTGCAATTGTCTCAATTAGTCAAATGTAACAGCAAATCAAGCTCTAAGAGCTCTTAATCAGCGTGCTGTAACTCTGCAGTTCATTAATACACAATTATAATTGTTATTTGACCCCAAATATGATGCACAACACCCCAAATTCCATGTCGCTATTCCATCCCATGGAAGCCATTGGGTCAGGAAAGTGATGACAGTTTAAACCAATGGTCAACTTTTGAGGGCACTCCACCCCTCAGACAATTACTCCCAATTGGCCTGTGATTAACCTTACGTTCACCTTCTTAGCTTAGACTTAGCCACTTAAAAGGCTCTTTTACCATTCCAGTGGGCTGGACAGATGGTTTGCCATCTTTTCACGGGCTGCCCGAACATAGCAGGGCTCGTGTACTTGTTGTCCCCCCTCAGCTGGTGTCGGCGTAAGTGAGTTGACACACATTTCCTATGATGCCACCATCATTTGTATGCCAGTGTGCAATGAACTGCCCAGCCTCATTTGTCTTCTCTATATGCAAATGCTAATTTTGCCGTTGTTTTATAGAAAGGGATCCAAATGAACGTTGGTTTCCATTTCAGCAGTTCAATAATAGTCGAGGACATGTGTATGAGGTCACTACGTCTGATTGAAAATTTCAATTCATCTGCTCCTTGCTGCACTGCTCATCTTGAGGAGCTGACATTAACCAAAGTAAGTCGGTGTAATCTCTGTCTGTTGGGCAATTCTAATTTGAATTCTCATGAGACTTAGATTATGCGAACTCTGAAAGGGCCCTCCAGACTAAGATTCAACTAAAGTCTACTAAAAAAAAAAAAAATGCTGCAGAGACCTCTGGGTTCTTAACTAACGTCCACTCAATCAGAAGAACGGCAGGCCAGAAGTGTTGCCAGTTTAATCTCTGTGACTGGCAGTAAAATACTTACACTGCCTTAGCCCACTGGGGATTAGGGAAATTTCCCTAATGAACTTACAGTTAAAGCCTCTCACCCACTGGACCCAATTTACAGAGTCCTCTTTGAAGCACCCTGGACTCTGCATATGAATGCACCAGTCTGGATTGAGCGTTACGCAAATGATCGAGGATGTCTTTGCAGAACTACCATTTGTTAATTGTTTGTTGTTGGGTTGGCAAGTGTCTATGTGTAGAAGACTTGATCTGACGGCACAGACGGTGTTGTATGAGAGCTCAACTGAGCTGGATGATGACATCATCTTTTGCAGAACTACTTTTTATTAAATGATGATATTTACAGTGGAACTAAATCCACACTGAACTGACTTGAGCCGAAATGCATTACTTCAACTTTAAGCTGCTTTGAAACGATCTGTATTGTATAAAGCGCTACATGATGAAAGGTGACTTGACTTTAGCTTTTGCATATTGTGCATGTAAGTGGCAATTATTTAGAAACTCAAGAAAAGGCAACCCTAAGTTTGTCAATTTGTCGTTGTGTTCAAGTTGATTGGAATTAATGGTAAAATCAGGATGTTTAAAAATTGTTGGGCGAATTTTGGCCACACCTGAAGGCAATCCGAGACTGCAAGTATCTGTCATCTTCTAGTATGTTATTATTATAAAGCTATTGTGTCATGAGCAGTAATTACTTCTTGGGTGGCCAGAGATCATGACCATCAGAGCTGATAATATTTCCAGTGTTCAAGGTCAGATAGTGAGGGAGATGCAATCATTTTTACTGCTATTGTGACAGAAGAAAAGGCAGTGTGTCTGTAAACATGTAGCAGTGTTTTTGAGCAAGTCTATGTGTGCATGGATATTGTGGGGGAAAAAAACGTGATGTGGAAATAGACCATATTTACATGGACATGTGTATGTTTTCCAAGCGTGTGCAAGAGTGTGTACTTGTTTTATTGAAAATAAGCAGTAGAAAACTTAATGGATTCATTGATTGGTGTTTGAAAAAATGCTCCCAGACAATCCTTAATTACATCCGCTTACACTGCTTTTATTGCATAATAAATGCAAGAAGTCTAGCCTAATATTCTTATGCCCAACATAACTTATATTAAAACATCCACAATATTCGTGCAGAGTGGAAACTGAAAATAGCTTTGTTTCCATCTACCTATTTTTATATATGCAGTTTGGGATATAAAAAAGCCAAGATAAATTCTATAAATCTGCATGAAAAAAATAAAAATAAAAACACATATGTGCTCAATTGAGATGGTTCCATTTTTGTATCCAATAAAATGATGTGCATAAAGTACAATGGACCGAATAAATCCATTAATGCTCAACAGAAAAAAAAAATGTGACTTTGATTCAAATGGATGTGATTGGATAACCGAACTAACTGGACCAATCACATCACAGCATCTCAAATATTGGTGTGATCATTCTGAAATCCCCGAGAATGATTGGGTTTAATTCTCTCCCAGAAGAGTTTCGCACGATTGCATTCATAAACACCAGCATCCAAAGGCTAGAGAACATGACAGGGTTTATCGAGTTTCTTCTGCCGCTCTGAGACGCAAATCATTTATGATCCAGAGCCACAGTTTCTTCCAGATATTTTGCGCCAATTTCCCGGGAAGTGACGTTTTGCGTTCTCTTGAACACTAACACTGCTTTATGCGCAAATGTTTAATGCTATATATTTCAAATTCAAGTTATTTTCGTAACTTCGGCTGGAAACACAGCTAATGAGAATTCCAATATCTCGAGGTCTGATATCTGGCATGTGCATACCTTTGATCTAGATCCTGATGCTATATTGGATCTAGTGTGGTTCCCCTCAGCATAAGCCTTTTTTTATTATTATTATTCTGTCTATTAAAAAGATTGTGATCACTTTCCTTTGGGGAAAAGGAACTGATCTCGGGTCAGATGTGGTGATAAAAGTGATGATGAAGGAATGGCTTTTAAGAGCTGATTTCTGACAAAGGCAGAGAGTAACTGGAGCAATGGCACCTCAGGGACAGTGAATGGAAAGGAGCTAGGCCGCGGCCTGAAGCCACACTCTGAATTAGAGACCCCTCCAGGGACTCAGGGGGAGCAGTTCTCATCTCACCGTGAAATATAAGAACATCATTACTCCCACCCACCATCAAAGATGAGGCCTTTGTGCTCACGTTCAGGAATGGCACGGAGTCAGGTTTATAACTTCATTTCGAAATGGGCCCTCAGGCACATGCTATTTGCATAAATAATGCTAAAATTGCACTATATTGCATTGTTTAGTGCAAATATTATTAATAGATTCTCAGTGTTAAAATTGGTGTTTGGAGAATAGTGTGGGAAGCAATATGCAATGCATGCACAAGAAAAAAAGTGGCATATTCCTGGAGGCTGCCAGTGAGTAAATTGCTATTGTATATTTTTATTGCATTGTGATGTGGTTGCTAAAGTCTGATTAATCATGTTTCATACCTAGGTTCAGTGGTATTGTCATTTTTTATATAAGGTCATCGATATAAGGTTATAGGTTTTGAATATTTTATATTTTCTGTTTTTTTCCTTTTATTTTAGTTAATTTTTTAGTAATTTGTGTTTTTATCATTTTTATATTTTGAGTTTTAGGGGCTGTTTACACGACACAGCGTTTTCGTGACTTAGAGTAGTTCACTTAAAAAAAAAAAAAAAAAAAAAAAAAAAAAAACTTTTGCTGATAATTAACTCACCCCGTTGTCATCCAAGATGTCCATGTCTTTCTTTCTTCAGTCTTAATTTCAATACATTTTAATTAGAGCCCGACCGATAAAGGATTTTGAAGGCCGATACCGATACAAATATTTTTGGGTTTTAAAATCCGATATATCGGCCGATATTTTATTTATTTATTTATTTTTTAAACTGGACATGATAGTCACAAATTTTGTCATGCTTATTTGAGTTAAGAGAACTGATGGGGATGATCTTTTAACTGTTTTTCAAGCAATGTATGTCTCGTGACCAACTCAA